GACGTGTGGGATTGATACATCTAGGAGGGCAGAATTCAGCGCCCCTGGGCAAGCGCTGTGTGGTGCCTTTTCCAGGAAAGTTACCCTTATAGCGCCCTATCAAGCTGCATCATGCCGGCCCGGATGCCCATCCGCCCGCCCACAAATGTCCGACCGATCCTGATGCTCGTATCGCTTCATTTGCGAAGTACAATATGAAGCAAAAGGGATTGGCGATCGATAACCGAGATTGCGGAGAAGCATGGCAGTTGTCAGTTAGGTGGAGCCTGAGAGGTCGCCAACTTACCGGTGGTTACGTTCGGCTGCGCCTCAAGAAGCTTGAGTAAAGGGCCGTCACTCTGTGCTGATGGGCGACCTATACATTGCCTAACTACGAGTTAAATAAGTCCAGCCTAGAGGCGCTGATGCAAAAGCTACCCTCTGCCATGGCAAGCGATATCCTTCCTCAAGACACAAACGTAGGTGTCAGCTTCCTCGACTACGGCGGAGTGGCCCTAGAGGAACTCATAATATGGGACAGGTCGAAAAGTACCTCGATCTCTGAGGGACTTTTAAGCTTTGAAAACTTCCTCAAAGTCATGATATACCCATGTGCAGAAACCCCAGAGGACACTCTCCACTAATCAGGGATAAAAACATCCAAAATGATTTTTGGTCTTTTTCTAGAACAATTTAATCAAAGTGTCGCAGGACTTTTCGAACAACCTAATATTCGCAAACTCATGCGATACGCAGCATCAGGATTGTCGGACATTTGTGGGCGGGGGTTGCGGTGGGCGTCCAGTTTGGTGTGCTGCAGCTTGATAGGACGCTTAAAGGCAGTTGGCACGATGGTTTCCTACTTAGCCTAAAATGCTAGTAGGGCGCTGTATAGTGGGGAAATGGCGAAAGAACGGAGTGAAACGGTCAAAATCCGGCGAAGAAAAAGCCTCCGTTCTCAGTGACTTGTAAATCGATTTCGGACGAGTTTCCCGTAGGCATCTTGCCAATCACCGCTACCGAAGATACGGCTGCATATGTGTACCCATATATGCATGCAGCATCACGGCCGCTTCATACCAATCCCTTCGCTTCATAATTTGCTTAGCAAATGAATGAATACGAGCGTCAGGAACGGTCGTAGCAAATGAATGAATACGAGCGTCAGGAAACGGTCGTCCGTTTGTGGGCGGGCGGGCAAGGAAGGCGTTTGGGACGTAAAGTTGTTGCTCAATAGGGCGTTATAGAGGTACCCTCCTTGGAAAAGGCTTCACGCAGCGCCTGTCCGAGGTCACGGAATTCTGTTAAGCCAGTTGTACAAATCCTACACCTGTATAGCGATTTATCGTGCCAACTGCCTTTAAGGATATCTCCCTTGGAAAAGGCACCACGCAGCGCTTGCTCAGGGGCAAAGAATTCAGTTCTGCTAGGCATATTAGTCCTACAATATTGGAGATTTATCATATCAACTGCCTTTGAACGGTTGTGACCTTCATAAATACATGAGAACATACAAGCAGCCGTATCTACCGAGAGGTTATTGGCACGATGCAGACGGGAAACTCGCCCGTAATACTCTCGCGGTCATGTAGAACGAAGGCTTTTTGCAGGTTTTTGACCGCTTGAACTCGATCTTTCCTCATTTTCTCACTATATAGCACCACTACTAGATTTCGAGACAGCTGCCGACCATATTCCACGGGTTGGCAACTATCGACTACCTGGTCACAATTTATCTACACTAGCTACTGCTTGAAAGAACTGACCACTTACACGCAGTGTTATTGAGAAACATGAAATCCATTGCTTACAGTTTTGTTCGCTACGGGTGATGGGGCACGTCAGGCGGGTTGAGTTTGGCGCGGCGCCACACCCGTTTTCAATAGTTGTTGGAGCGAGCAAGCGGCAAGACTGTATCACATGGTTCGTATCAGTCGTTTTCCACCGATTTTTTCGCTTACCCGCTTCAACAACTGGTGGAGAACGAGCTAGCGACGCGCCAAACCAAGCCTCACTGACACGCCCCGATGAGGACTACCTAGTTTTTGCGCCACTGATGGACGTCATATTTTTTGCACCAATATTTGACTGATAGCTCATTAGTTTCTTGTTCTTAGAAAGATTCGTTGCAAGCGCGGCATGTGTACCAGGACCACACTAGTTTTAATGTGGCCGTACCGCATGTAGCGTCAAGTCAACTACTCAGGAGAATGTTCTTCTTATTTGTGCACAGGGAAATAATGGCACACACATCCTACTCCGATCAGTTGGGAACAAGGCTGAGCAACTATAATAAATACAAATAGAACTCCTACGGAACACTCTGTATTCTAGGGTCCTTCAAAGTAGCGTGTTAGCTCCAACTCTTTACGAAG